AGCCCCAACAATATGTACATGCTAGTAAATATATCCATCATACACCTTCCGGACCTGTGCCAATGACATCTTATTATCCTATATACCCATCGCAGCAACAAACACATCCTCCGCACCCTGCTCTTGAGCACCAGTACCCTGTTTACCTTGTTCATTCTAGACAACTTTCGCAAGCTTACAATTTGCCTGTCCAGCAAGCAAATTATAGTGAGTCTGCTCAAGCAAATGTTCCTTCTAACCAACCTCAATCACCTCCTGCTCCTAGCATGGCGGCTCCTGCTACAGGTTACAACCATCCTGGAAATCCTCCTGCCTCCAAACCTGAAATGACTGCTGGTGCATATAGAACAGCAGCTGCGGGAACTCCACAATTGGTTCAGATCACTTCAGGCCAGAATCAACAGCAATATGTTGGCTACTCTCAGATTCACCATCCCTCTCAGCCAATTTCTCCTACATCACGTGCTACCGCCAATTATGCATATGAATTTTCTGATCCTACACATGCACAAATATACTATTCTCAGGCTCATGCTCCCCAGTTTGCTACTCAATACCAAACCATGACATCATCCCCGGCAGTTGGTTTACATAGTATTTCTTCGCAGCTTCCGACATAAAAAAATCAACCAACAAATTAGAACTTCACCAGCCATGAAAGGTGAGTTGCACATGAAGAAACAATTTTGTGGACATAGGTTTGGTTTATGTTTAAAGTTTCTGTTATAAATGCTTGAATTTTGTCATTATTATTGGTTTGTCAAATGTATTTGTTATAGGTATAAGACAATTGGGTGTTTTTTTCTTTTCTTGTGCAATCCATAAATTGATAGCGGTCTTGGATCATACTGTAAACGCTCAAACTCATATGATATTGTTCCCTGTTATATATATGAATTACAGAATAAATGTAATATAGTGATTGAGGCTTTTACTTCAGTTGTCTTTATATATTTCCCCCCCTTATTTGTTGTTTTATTGAGCTTTGTGGCAATGTATCTGTACCACCATGACATATTAATCGAGAGGATACATGGAAACAAGCATACATGATCTTTGACTTGTTGAATAGAGCCCATGCCTTTTGATGCTAGGATAGTTTTAAATTCAGAATATTGTATGGATCAGCCCAAAATTTATGTGTTACTTGGTGTATTAAGAAATGGTTTGGTTAAATCAAGCTGCTTCTTAGATTCAGAAAAAACTCCATTCTTAATTTTACGGTTATTTCTGGGACATTTTTAGATGTTTCGTGTCACCAACTAGCAATTTTACCAATCCTTAATTTAAAGCTAGAGGCAGTCATATAAGGGGGATAACGGTTTGGTTAGATCCTGTTGCTTCTTATATCCAGAAAGAACTTCATTCCTAATTTTACAATTATTTCTGGGATTTTTTCTATTTTTTTGCGTCTCTAACTAGCAATTTCACTGATCCTTTAAAATAAAGTTAGAGAAAGTCATATATGAGGGGGGATAACTCTTATTTTTTTTTAAGGAACGAGGGGACAACGCCGTTGTTCTTAATGGTATATATTTCTTCTTTTTGGCAATTAGCAGACAGTTGTATTAATCACCAGTATGAATACTTACATAGCCAGAGCCAATCAAGCCTGAGTGTTCATCTAACAGTAGCAAAAAATTCCTACATGCACTATCAACACTAACTAAGCTTGAAGGTCATAATATGAGTAAACAGGTTCACATTTCTCCTAATTCGTATACATATTGTCTTCAAATCATGTGTCAATGCTTCCTTACTTCTGTTCTTCATGTTGAAGATTCTGGACTTTCTTTCTCCCCTGCCCCCATAATCCATGTACCCACAACTGCAAAACTTGCCTTGAGCAAAGCCCCTCACGGTGTTCTTGATCTGCAAGTTTGTTGGATTCAGTGGCATTCCTGTTCCCACATCAGTATGGTCCTTTGCCAGTGTAACCAGTGTAGCATGTCTTTCCAAAGTTCATTGGTGTAAACAACAATCGTTTCTGGAGCCAATTCATGGCATAGTTTTATCAGTACAGCCGTAGTCCTTATTAAATGAAAAGAATTTTGTACAAACATTCTTAAGTTACAGAACTATAAACCATGCCTACTAATAATCTGTTTAGCTGGTACAGTTATCATTCTTTTTGAGTTTGAATTTGTGAACCATGCTAAGGATCCTGGCAAAGTGGTAGTACTAAATTCCCTCTCATTTTCTATTAGTGAGTTTTTATCAAACTTTTATTTATAAAGATTTAGTTCATGGACGTTGTGTTTCTCTTTGTTAGAATGATAATGAGAACCTGATATTTTCATCTAGTTACACGTTTTCAGGTGTTTATTGCGGTCAAGTGTCTATCTCTCCGTCCCTCTCTTTCTCTGTATATGTTAACAGAATCCTTGCTGGTGATCCACACAATATTCCTCATTAATTGTTGGTTTCTTAATGCACACTTATTTTTCTTTACTTCGGTTGGCAGAAGAGATGATATGCTTTACACTTACTCTATTTGGTACCATGTTAACTTGTTGGCCTAGTTTGTGTTACAAGTACATGTTTGCTTTACTCCACAACTCTAATCAGCATTCGTACTAAGGTGATGACGAACTATTGGGTGCTTTGTTATGAAGTTTGCTGTAACACCTAGTACTATTTTACTTCGGTTGGAATAGAAATCGATCAAAGACAATATATAACTTCTGTTTTGGGGCCAATTAAGGTATAAATAGAAATGTAGACACACCATGTAATAAAGAGTTTCTGTGAAACTGCAGTTACAGTTACAGTAAGTGCATTTTAATTAGAACCTTCATTCTCTCTGGGATTGATGTGTGAAATGGGTCATGCATATGTTATTTAACCACAATTTGGCTGCATTTCTTGTGTTCCTTTAGACTTTTCTAATTGCTATTATCACATTATGTAAATGCATTTCCAGTAAAGCTTATAAATACGTGCTAGATTCTCATCGGAGGTTTGGAGATAGACTCTAGAGTTTAAAGGTTCAGGTTAGGCAGAACTAAGGTAAAATATTTAGAGTGCAGGTTTCAGATGTGGAAGTGAGTATTGAAACACGAGTCATCCCCAAGAATCTGGGGTCACTAATCCAAGAAAATGGGGAGATTGACAATAATGGGGCGGAGTGTTGGCCGCCAAGAACTTGATGTCCAGAATATGAGAGTAGGATGTTGAGATGGATATGGGGGCATACGAGCGATAAGATTAGAAACAAAGCTACTTGGGACAAGGTGTGAGTAATTTCTGTGGTGGACAAGATGAGGAAGGAGAGATTGAGATGATTCCAACATGTACAGAGAAGACACACAAATGCCCTAGTAAGAAGGAATGAGAGGTTGACTATAGTGAATGTAAGTAGAGGTATCGGTAGATTGAAAAGTCGTGGGAAAAAAGTGATTAGATAGGATACAATGCGCTTGCAACTTACCAAGGACATGACTCTAAATAAGAAGATATGGAGGTCAAGGAGTAGGGTAAAAGGTTGGTAGGTCGAGCGTCGTCTAGTTTCATTTTTGGTATTGTTATCATTACTTTCTTACTATCTTACTTCAATTTTTTATTTTTTTTCTTTATAAAAATAAAATAAAATCTTACTTCAATTTTTAGTATTAAATGTTATTTCATTTGCTTCCGTTAACATACTTTTTTGGCATTGTTTCTATTCGCCTGTTCATTATTTTCGATATGATTTCTTTGGTATTATATTAGCATACTTGTTTTTATATGTTTTACTTGATTCAATGGTCTATCGAAAACAACCTCTTTACCTTCATAAAATAGTGGGTCACAAGATAGTGGTAAAGTTGTTGCTTTCTCAGACTTCATTTATAAAATTACATTGAGTATGTTGTTATTGTTGTTCTCGCCCTGCTGTTATTTTTTTTTGTGTTCTTTTCTCATGTTATTATCTTGATTGACACTCAATTTTGGCTGTATGTTAAAATTGTAGTTAGCTTATGTAAATTAGTTGAGGTTGGAAACAATTAGGTGAGTAGATAATTAATTTTCCAAGTCATATTGTCTTCTTGTTACAGCAAGCAGAATATTCTGTTGTTACTTCAAATTATCATACTCTATTAAAAAAAAGTACTAGTTGATTCCTTATTGTTTTAATGTCTTATTAAACTCCTGCAATTATTGTAAATCTGGCTCTTAAAACATAATTAAAATGGCTAATTATGAAGTGTCATATGTTAATCCATCATCATTGTCTTGCAGATGAAGGTGGACTTACCGATCATCATGTATTATGGTCCACGTGAACCTTAGTAGTTTTTGCTCAAACAATATGTACTCATATATATATATATATATATATAAACTTAATATTTTATATTAATTAATCGATTTGAAGGTGAAATTTCTCCAAAAATCTGATGTGGACAAGTTTTTGAAGAAAAATTCTCAAAAGTTGATGCAAACTATATGGCCAAGTGCTCCTAAGTTATTTGTTTGGAAGAAAGGATCATAGTTGCCCCTTTATTATTGAAAAATGTATGATGTTACCTTTGTTGTTCTATCAATCTGTATATTAGTTATTTAAGGATTAGTTAATGCGTTGGAATAAAAGAGAGTTTTTGGTACTCCTCCAAAGTGAATAATAAAGACTCAATGTATTGATTTTTGTCATCGATTGAATGAATACCCTGATGCTATATTGTCGGTCTTAATATATAAGTAAAGTCATGAAAAGGAAAAATATATTTATACATATTGTTACTTTTAAAAATCATAAAGTGTTATGATAATTTTACTATATATTACAAAAATTAAATCTATTATATTATATATCACAAAAATCAAAAATTAAATTTACATTATATTCCAAAAATAAAAGTAAAAGTTCAAAAAAAAAAAAAAAAGCATGGCATTACGTGTTCCTTTTATCTCAACATCCCATTTTGCCAAACTGTTCCAACTCAAAATCAAATTATTAAAATAAAAAAAAAAAAGTTTACGTCTCAAACCTTCAAAAGTCAAAAGAGTAAAAGATTTATCAAACCAATTTTCTTTATCCAAATTGTCACGAATCCCAAAAAATATGGTTTATCCAATTCAATCCGATATTCGATCGGCGATTCAAATCGCTGCCGTCTTCCGCCACCACAACCATTACCACCACCTCACAAATCACCGCCGGCGACTTCCTCCCTCCGTCATTTCATACCGGAACTCTCCGAACTGCTGCTTCACGGTGAACTCCGCCTTTAAACTCAGAGCTTTCACCACCAATGATGGCGATACTACAGCCCAGAAGGTTTGTAATAAGCCATCGTTATGCACTGCCGATGAACTCCACTACGTATCTGTTAATAATTCCGATTGGAAACTTGCTCTCTGGCGCTACATTCCTCCTCCTCAGGTTCAATTTTTTTATGTTTTTTAATTTGAACTGTTACTCTTAACTGTATGACAATTTGAAAAAAATAATATATTTGACACTTTCATTTCTATATAAGTTCAAATTTTAAATTTTGTGATCAATTAAATGTGGTCATATAGAATACAACCCGTAATCTCACAGGTGAGGTCCGGGGAGGGTGGAGCAAATGCAACCATATTCGTACCTTGTGAAGGTAGATAGACTGTTTGTGATAGATACTCGGCTTAAAGTAAATGTGGTCATATAGAATTGGTCCCAATATATAAGACATGAAGGCATTAAGAATATTTGACGCCATTTTATCTAATTCAACTATTGAATATTTTAAATTTTGTGTTCTATCAAATACTGTTATATAAAATGAAACACAGGGAGTGATACTATGAAGGATTTACAGTTCTGTTGCATGATTTTTTTGTTCAAGGATTTAAGCTTTGCATTAAGGGTGTGTGATTTTTGATGATGATAGGCTCCAAAGAGAAATCATCCCCTGCTTCTGTTGTCTGGTGTGGGGACTAATGCTATTGGATATGATCTTGCTCCTGGGGTATGATACTCGTCTGCCTTCTCTCCGTTCTTTGTGCATTCTTCTGTTTTGTTGTATGTGCAGTATTGCGTGAAAGAGTAGTCGGGGACACTCTAATTTGCAAATTCATGCCTGTATAGGTGAACAGAACTAGGGGATCTTCATGGATCGTTCATTGATAGCCACATTTAATAGATCATAATGACAGATGTCAAATGTGTATATTATCAGTGCTTAGTGGATATGTCAGGTTCCATTAAAGTTTCACTCTTTATTTCGTGGAGTGGTTCTTGTTTCTGAATCTGGTAGAATTCTATGGCATGCTCAAATTTTTTAGAGTTAACCCTGGTTTTGATGTTGTACTATCCTTGCTACTTTTTTTTTTTTTGATCAAAAGGATACTTATATTATATTATATAATTAGGGATCAAGAGCATTAGTAGTTTCCCCACCTGTGTCAACGGGTGGGTCATTGTAAGTAGTTGTGTCACATCCCGACCCTGGATAATACAAAATGGATTGTTTACGGTCCTAGGGTAATTAGTTCCTAGTGCATCTGCATCTACTTCCTTCTGCACACATGTTGGTGCGGTGATCAAAATGGTGGGTCGGTTAAAAACTTCGTCCTTTTCTCATACTTTATGCATTTCAAGCGTATAAAAGTTTACTTGTGTGATTTTTTTATTACTGGTTTGTTATCTATTTCATCTTCCTTTTTTGTATATGGCTTTATGGCTGCATGCCTGCATCAATCAGGTGTTGATGGTAGTCATGTGGCTAGCACTCTCTGTGATTGTACATTTCTGAAATATGAATTGTGATGACGATTTTTTGCTTAGTTGCTAGTGATGATTTCTATCCTTTTTTTTTTTAGTGAGATAAATCTAAATGTCTGCTGGTTAATGCAATAACTAGTGTCAACTTGATTTCACTTGGATTATTTCTTGTCTATTTTTTGTTTAAAGTTCTGTTGATGCATCTTCTTATCTGTTTAAGTTCATTTTTATCACTTGAGGCAAGTATGTGCACCCTACTCTTCAGTGGAGGTTTAGAATTCTTTATCACTTCAGGCAACCATGTCCATCCTGCTTATCAAAGAAATCTTACATAGTATGGCTGGTTTTTTTAAATTCTTTCTAAAAGTTATTTAATCACGGTTTTTACTTTTAAAAATAATTATGCAGACATCTTTCGCCCGGTACATGTCTGGTGAAGGATTTGACACTTGGGTTCTTGAACTTCGTGGAGCTGGGTTGAGTGTGCAGGAGTCAGATTCCACAAACATTGAGAAGACTGCAATTGCAGTCTCAGAACAGATGGAAGCTGCCGCTGATAATGCTACTGACAAAGTTCTTTCTGCAGCACAGCAGTCAACAGATGCCCAGAGTACCTTAGAAGAGTCTGACACAGCTGTGGTCAAAGAAGAATCCACAGCTATTGCAACAATGTGGGATGAGTCAAGAGTAGTAAACGAGCTTACGGAAATATTTATGCGTTTGTCAGAAAGAGTCTCTGGCTTCCTCAATGAAAGCCAATCAAGGATTATGTCTGCTAAACTATTTGATCAAATATCAAAATTATTAGAGGATTCCTTTCTTTATGAACGCTTTAACGAGACAAGGGGGAAGTTGTTAAGTCTGCTGGAGACAGGGCAAAACTCTGCCGTTGTTGACCAAGTAAAGGATCTTAGCCAAAAGCTAGTTAATATCATTGAAGAAGGCCAACGTTCTGTTTCTCCATTAGTTGATCTGCATGAACGTCTAACCACTACCATAGAAGATTTCCAGAAACAGCTTGACTTGATTGTCAAGTATGATTGGGACTTTGATCATTACCTGGAAGAGGATGTTCCTGCTGCGGTGAGGTGACAGATTCCCATGTTGTAGAATATAAAGATATTATTGTCCTTGAGATTACAAACCAAATGAAATTCAGAATTTGTTGATTTTTCACTCTTATTTATTATTCTGACTAGTCTAATTATTTTATTTTCATTCTAGATGGAATACATTAAGGCCCAAACTGCACCAAAAGATGGTAAACTTCTTGCCATTGGACATTCTATGGGAGGAATATTACTGTATGCTTGGCTATCACAGTGTGGTAAGATTCATTCGTTGTTTATATGGAATTAACGTTGTTACACTTACGTGATCTGGCGGGTCTACTTATGAGCCACTTAAGATACTAGTAAATTAATGTGCAAGAGTTTTGAAAAAGTAACAAAGAATCCTTTCTGTAGTTGCAGTTGATAAGAAAACAGTAATATTTAAACATTTTATTTAAATAAAGAAGGCAGTATAATTTCAGAAATTTATTCCATGAACCTGCTGGAGTATCATACGATTTAGTCTTGGGATTAAATTCCAAAGGCTACCACTTCACTTGGTGCAACTTTGAGTTAACCTGGTCCCCTCTTGACTTAATGTTCTTTTAATTCCTAATATTCATGGAGCAAAATCTTCAGACTCAACTTCAACAAGCTTTTTGCTGAAAAATAAGAAAGATGCTATAGTTCACAACAACTTTGGGAGTATAGTTGTAATAGCCACCAAGTGCAGTACTCCTATTAACTTAAAAATTCCATGATAGGGTGCACCAAGGTAAACAGGATCTGGTTAACAGTGTGACTTATCTGCTTACTAGCGTCTTTCATACAGAGCTGAAAATGAGCCATCTTTTGACCTTATTGAGATTATAGGGAGCTAGGCAAGATTTTATACTTTATCCATACGTTTTAACAGTGTGTAAGGGACAATTTGATTTGGAAGGAATTTGACCTGGTTTTAGATGTAAAAAGGTTTCACAACTAACAGATAAGTCACTTGGAGCATTGTCTGATTCCTTGTTAATGTGCAGTGGGCACAGTCTCAAAAAAATATTTTCAGACTGACTACATCCGGGAATCATACAGATATGAGATAATTTTAATATGTTTCTGGTTTTATCTTGGAAAGGATTGCAAGGAAGAGAGTCTGGATTAACTGCTATTGTAACTTTGGCTTCATCACTGGATTACACATCTTCGAAGTCTGCACTCAGACTGCTCCTACCCCTTGTAAGCTAAAAATAAATGTCTTTCAACTCTCGTTGTGCAGCAAAAAGCCCTTTCAGCATATTCTTATATTTATTTACCTTGGCTGCAGGCTGATCCTGCCCAAGCTCTCAATGTACCTGTTGTCCCTTTAGGAGCATTACTCGCAGCAGCTTATCCTCTTTCTTCTCGCCCTCCTTATGTGTTGTCTTGGCTTAATGATTTAATATCAGCTGCAGACATGATGCATCCAGAGTTGCTGAAAAAGCTCGTATTAAATAACTTCTGTAAGTGCTTAAATGGGCAATAAGCAGTATTTTCTTAGTATTAATTGATTGTGAACTGTAAAAATTTATGGTCCTCTTGTTTTATAATTTATTTATATGGAGAGCAGGCAGGTTTCAAGTTGTATAGGTATAGATATTTAGTATGAGTTTTAGAGATAACAGTATGAGAAACTTACATGTTCTGAAGAATGATTCAATGACCATCTGGCTATGCCCCACATTCCTGTCTACAGTGTTTTTGCACCAATACATTCTTTTCCCCTCCACTTTCTGTCTGGATGATATGTTGAGTCTGAGTTGAACTAATATTCTACGTTTCAGATACATCCTCATGGGTATCAGTTAGGAAGGCAAATGTACTTATTAATTATGATTATTAGTATATCTCATCTTTCACAGTAGTCATGCAGCGTTATACAAGGAAGAACAGCCAAAGTTTGAAGTATGTCCTTTGGCAAGCCAAATTGAATTTTGATTTGTACTTGCTTATAACCAACCTATGAAGTATGAACAATGGTCTGTCTCATCTAGTTGGTCTCCTTCTTGGCCTCAAGAGGAGTCGGTACTAAAAACTAAAAAGGCCTTTCCTTATAGGCTTCTTAGCAATAAGGTAATCAGTGGAAACAAACTATGTGAGAGACTGAGAGTTGATTCTTAATTCTTATTTGTTCGCATAAAGAATGAGCGACGAAGAACTATTAACATCTTCAGATAGAAAAAGAAAATTATATCAAGTAAACATCCGCTGTATATTTATTTGCCAGCTAGATATTTTCTCTTCTGTCAAAGAGCTGCATATACCAATATATTTATTTGATTCTTTGTTTGATGAACTATTGACTCTTTGCTCCCACAAGTTTCACTCCTGTGTTGTTTTCTTGACACTGTGGAACGGTGTTGATAGATGATCTTCAATGGAAGAGTGTTTCCATCAAAGTAAGGATAGTTTATCATAACTGATTTATAAGGGCTGTAGTCTGACGGTGATCCAGAAAGTTCACTTTCTTTTGTTAAAAAATTCCTTAGGGGATCACGCCCTTTCTATGTTCTCTTGAGATTTCACATGTACCTTTTACTTAGATTTTCTAATAGATCTTCCGGCAGGTACTATTCCTGCTAAACTTATTTTGCAGTTGACTACAGCTTTTCGAGAAGGGGGACTCCGTGACAGAAGTGGTAAAATATTCTACAAGGATAATCTTCACAAAACCAATGTACCCGTGTTGGCTGTTGCTGGAGATAAAGACATAATCTGCCCACCAGAAGCAGTGTGCGGTATGTGTCATAGTACTTCCGCTCATTTTTCTGTCAGAGGATGATAAGTTTTCTAACAATTCTTTTCTTGCAACACATTGGTTCAAGCAGAAACGGCAAAGCTTATCCCCGAGCACTTGGTCACCTACAAAGTATTGGGGGATGATAATGGTCAGCATTATGCTCATTATGACTTGGTGGGAGCACGCATGGTATGTAAACTTTAACAATTTCTAGCTTCTTTTGGAATACATGAAGGAGAACAGAATACAATGGAAACAAAGGAGCTATATGAGTGACATTAACTGATTGGATTTAGACTAGTTATTCATTTGGGAATAAATGTGAATTTTAGAGGAATTTTAATTTGCTTGCTTTGAAAGACATATTATTTAGTATTAGAACGAGATTAACCTGAATTGTCCGGACTGGATTTGGAGAATTCATAAAACCAAACCCTACCGATATAGGAGGATTTGAGGTCTAGTTGATTGATTGATTGATTAGCAGACAGAGTATAGAAAAGGATGATAAAGAATAGAAAGATGCTGGAGAGGTGCCTAGTCACATTGGAATTGCCTTTCAATGTTTTTTTTGTTTCCTAATGTAAACCTGAGAGTTAAATATACCTAGATTAGGAAATATGATACGTTATTTACTTTCACAACTCCGTGAATCCGTGAAATAGGCATCTTTTGCATGTGCATTGTTATTATTTTTCCGTTTCTATTATTGCATAACAACTTATACTCTTCCTGGTGCCTGCAGGCCGCAGAACATGTATATCCTTGTATAATCCAATTCTTAAGCCGTTATGATGATACTAGCTAGGGCCTGTACTCTAGTTTTGACCATTCTTTGGGTAGCGAGCTCCATATTCTTGGCGCCAAAATACGCTTGTGATGGTCTCATTCATCACTCGTATCCATAGATGCTAGTTAACAAGTGAGACCAAACTTATCTGAAATTGTGTTCTTTCCTCTGTTTTCTACCCTTAATTGTAATCAAGTACCTTGTTTATATTGTAGGGAGTGAATATAAATGTCCCTGAACCCGAGGAAGGTTCATGTCAAGGAAGGAATTTGCAGATTCTTTAACCATACCTCATATGTAATGTGTATTTGGATTCTCATTATGTAACCTATTTATGGTTTGTTTCTTTCTCTTTTGCCTACTGCCCATATATTGTCCAGTTATTATTTGGTCCTTTGTGTTTCCTGTCTAAATGTAAGAAAGGCAGGAAAGTACATGTTGCAGTTAGTCATACTGGAAATAGTACAGTATTCTATCACATGAGGCTGAAGCACTCAATGAGATATCAAAGATAGAATCCTAAATCATAATAGTTACAAATTACAATAAACTAAAGATCAATGTTGAGCTTGATTGAATAGCAAAACTTATAACTTGTCTAGAAACGATTATTTCTTCTTCTGTAATTCCTTTGACTTCGTTGCTTCTTTCTCATTCGCATGATGAATTTGTGTTCCAGTTGTTCGATGATTCTTGCTAGCCATCTTGGATTTCCCGTGGAGATCATGAAATATATAATGGACATTCCGATACATAGTCCACTGCCATAGCCCATCAGAGCAGCTTTCCAAAAGTCATTGAGAAATTCAGAGTTGCTTTCTTGATCTTCTAGAGAAGATACGGTGTAATTTGTTTCAGATACACGATCATTGCCACAACCATCTGAAATTGGGAATCCATGTAATCCAACATTACCTTCATATGAGTTGTTCTGGAATGTAGAGAATTGTGGTCCTTGAGGGATGCATCCTTGGAGATAATTATAGGAGAGATTTAAGAATTCAAGAGACGTAAGAGAAGCAAGTTGTTGTGGTATCTCTCCTGAAAAATGGTTAAACGAAAGGTCCAATGATTCAAGTACAGATAAATTTCCAAGTGATGGTGGTATATGATCTTGCAATCGATTATGAGACAAATTCAACACCCGAAGTGCAATGAGTTCTCCCATAATACTTGGAATATTCCCTACAAATCTGTTACTTGAAAGATCAATGGTGGTGTAAGTTGTCAAAATTCTAACAAGTTCAAGCTCTCGTCCCTTGGTTGCAACTGTCATAGAATCATGGCAATAACTGTACACTCCAAGATATATTGGTGCCTTCATTGTTTGATCAACTCTCATCATGGCTTTTAGTTGTTGAAACATACTCGTAGGTAAGTTTCCCGAGAAGGCATTATAAGATAGATCTATGATTCGAAGCTCGGGAAACATGTTCTCAATCCTTGACGTTCTAATGAGTCCATGAAATTTGTTTGATCTCAAGCTTAAAACTTTCAGCTCTGACAGATTTCCCAACCACACTGGGAATATGTCGTTGAAGTGATTATCTCCTAAATCAACGACTTGCAACCTTTGACAATTGGCCAAAAATCGAGGAATTCCGCCCTCGAGTTCATTGCCATGAAAGTTGATGCTTCTAAGTGAACATCCAATCCCAAAAGTAGTTGGAAGATCCCCAACAAACTTGTTGTGGTGCATATCCAAAACCTCAAGATGGTCACTCATGTTGCCAAAACATTGCAGAATTTCTCCCTTAAAATTGTTTTCCCCCAAATCTAAAGTTCGTAATGATGTTAAATTGCAAATAGATGAAGGAATATCCCCACTGAGATTATTATATGAAATCATTAATACCTGGAGTTTAGTCATATGATCCAAACATTGTGGAATTGCTCCCCTCAAGTTGTTTCTTGATAAATCTAGATACAACAAGTTTTGCAAGTTTCCAATCTGATAAGGAATGGAACCAGTAAGGTAATTGTTTTGAAGCTGCAAAGCTATCAACTCAGTCCAATTGGTAATGAGATCTGATGAGACCTCACCAGAAAGAAAATTATCGGACAACGCCAACTGAGATAACTTGATCAAAGAGGACAAAGATATAGGCAATGTTCCTTGCAGAGAATTCTCTGCTAGAGCCAAATGAGTGAGGTTTGTACAAAGGCCTAACTCAGAAGGAATGGTTGAGTTTAAACGATTCTTTCGAAGATCAAGTGTTTGAAGATTTCTAAGTTTGCCTATTGAAGATGGAATCTTCCCTTGAAATGAATTGTTGAAAAGTACAACAACTTCAAGACTAGAGGCATTGCCAATATTTGATGGTATCGATCCACTAAAGTTGTTGCCATTGAGAATGAAACTCGTGAGACGCGGAAATGAAGTGAAGTTAAGGTGATCAAGAGAGCCTGAGAGTGTTGCATTTGAAAGATTGATCTCTGAAATTGTTCCATCAGCATTGCAGGCAATGAATGTCCAATTACACAAGTTTTCGAGATTGGAAATGGACCATGAATCCAATAAGGAAGTAGAAGATAAGTTAGTACTCTTCCATTTGATAAGGGCTTCAGCTTCAGTTCTTGCTGATGATGTGATTATTCTTAATGGAAGTGAAAAAAGAAGTAGAAGAATGTAAATGAATGTACTATGAGAAGTTGTCATGTCTAATGTAGTATTTGGTTTCAATAACAATACAATTTTTATGAGCTTTTAAATGAAAGAGGGATAAAAAATCATTCATATCTAAGTTGTATATATAAAGAACAAAAAAGGAAGGGTTGTGTTAAGTGGTAAGTACTCCTTCATCCTTAACTAGAGGTTTTGGCTTCGATACGGAATCGCCTTTGTTAGGGAACACTTCACCTCTCAATATAAAGAATTATAAAAAAGGTTGGGGTGGAGTAGTAAGTACTCTTAATCCTTAACCAAAGTCTCGGCTTCGATACAAAATTACCTTTGTTAGTGAGCGTTTTACCTCCCAATATAAAGAATAGAAAAGAAAGGGTTATGGTAAACAAAAAAAGAAAGGGTTGTGGTGGAGTAGTAAGTACTCCTTAATCCTTAACCAAAGGTCTTGGCTTCGATACAGAATCACCTTCGTTAGGGAGCGCTTTATCACCCAATAGAAAGAGCAGAAAAGAAAGGGTTGTGATGAACAGAAAAAGAAATGGTTGGGTGGAGTGGTAAGTATTCCTTTATCCTTAACCAAAGGTCTCGACTTCAATACGAAATCGCCTTTGTTAGGGAGCACTTTACTTCCCAATATAAAGAACACAAAAGAAAGGGTTGTGGTGGAGTGGTAAGTAATTCTTCGGGAGCGGAGCTACCCTAGGACAAGGGGTGTCAAGCGACACCCCCTTTGTCGGAAAATTACATTGTATGTATAAGTCAAAATTTGATTTAATGAATATATGTACAAGTATTGACACATCTTGACATAAATTGAAGGTTTAGTGTAGTGGTTAAGGGGTTTCAAAAGTTGTTTGAGGTTGTGTTCTATTGTTGATAGCCTTAATAAAAATTCTGATTCCGCCATTGTACTCCTTCATCTTTTAACCAAAAGTCTCGATTTTGATACGTGCTAGTTCAACAACAATTTTTGGATTCACGGAATGGAAATTTTGTTGTTTGTATTGACTAGTCTTGCCATAAAATTTCAAAAGAAAGCTACAAAACACATGGTGCTAGTATACCATTTAAGTCTTTTCATGAGGACCACAGAGTGACGATAGAATAAAAGAGGGATTGATTTTGTAAAAATATAATATAATATTGTACATAATTTACATTAAAGACCAAAGAGAAATTGAGGAAATAAGATCTATGGACAATTTGAATAGAAGAAAATGACATTTTTTATCTCTTCTATGTAAATCAAAGGTCTCTTATATTAAACAATTTTTTTATTAATAAAACATGTATTCGATAAAAATTAATAAATGAAGATCTCTTATATTAAACATTTTTTTATTAATAAAACATCGATTCGATAAAAAAAATAAAAATCTCTCGTAAAAGTGTCATAATTTTTTTTTAAAGGACTAGAAAATTATTTTTCCCGAAGAAACGTGTTTTCTCTATATGTTGTGGTGCCCCTCTTTAAGTGCAAATTCGACTGCTCGTTTTAATTCACGCTTCAACCATTTTTTTGTTTGTTTGTATTTTATTAGAGAAAATTGTCATTCTCAAGTCAATTTTGGATTGTTATATTTTTGTCTTTTTTTTAAGGCTTAGTATATCGATGACCTCTTAAAATTGGCACAAAGTTTCATTTAGATTTCTTAAATGAGCGATGTTTATTTTAAATACTTCATGTAGAGTCCTATTGTATCATTTTGACATTTTTCGCTGACATCAAAGTCAGCGTGTGAAGGGCTTTTTTTTCAGGCCAAAAATTACTTTTTAAAAAATGGTTCATCTTCTTCCATCTTTTTTTGTGATTATTATCTCATCCACCGCACACCATCAACCCACCATCGCTGCATCATTGCCATTAATCTTATTACAATCGAAGTAATTTTTAATTTTTTTCAAATCTGAAAATCACCACAACCATCATCACCTTCTCATTTTGTTTCTTTAGATCCGACAATTAAATTTCAGCGCCACAAAATAATTACTTTATTTCTTGTTCACGTATTTGAATCTTCTGCACATACGAGAAATGCAAAAAAAATTAATTCTTCCATTGTTAGTTATAATTGATGCTTTTAGAAGTAAAGAAGAGAAAAAATCGTGCTATTGTAAATTATTATTTCCAATGTAATTAAATTCTTTTGAAAGTGTTTCTTGAAAAGACGATAGGAGTGGAAAAAGGGTTGAGGTTGGGGTGGGGGGGGGGGGTAAAGAGGACGATCTGGTGGGGCGGAGAAGATGCCTGGGTTGGGTGGGGTGAAGAAGTCGAGGGTGAGTTTCTTGAAAATTAGAAGTGGTGAATTTCTTTTTAAAATATAATTATTATTTGAGTTTAAAATGCCACATATCATCAAGTCAATGGTCATTTTTCTTTCTACTTAAAAGTCATTAGTTGAGAATTATTTTTTAAAATATATGACATGTGTCTTTGTTTAATTCGTCACTTTGACACGTTATCGGCGAGTGTATTATACACATTTTGAATTTTTGGATGATTGTTAAAAAGTGTCAAAATAACACAGTGAAACCCTACATAAGGCGTCTAAAATGAACAAAACTCAGTTAAAATGTCTAAATAAAATTTGATGCCAACTTTAAAGGATCATCGATGAGTTAGACTTTTTTTAAAATTATTTTTATTCATGTGTTCCACATCTATATATTTTGTTTTTTGTAAAGGGTTAGAACATCATTTCTCCAAAGAAACATGTTTGCTCCATATGTTGTGGCGCCCCTCTTAATTGCAAATTCGATTTAACCCTCTCATTCACACCTAAACTATTTATAATTTGTCTGTTCATATTTTATCAGAGAAAATTGTCATTCTCAAGTTAAATTTAGGTTATGTTTTTTTCTTTTTTATCTCTTCTTATTTTATCCATGTGTTACACATTTACATTTTCTTTTTTAAGTAAACAAACTATCATAAAATCCTTGAAAAAGAAAACAAGCTTAAAAAGGCGTAGATAATGATACTCTAATAATTCAGGGACGAAATTAATATTTGCGTCAAGATTTCTTCTCTCATTATAAAATGACAAACCACATATCATAGTTGATATGCTGAATTTTTTATACAAAGAAACTAGAAAGTTACCACATATGATATTTACCTACACTAATTTAATACATGAATAACTCCCTTAACCAGAAGCCAAATAACACCTAATTTTTTTTAAAATTTTTTTTACAAATTTTATTTGAATGTAATAAGTTAAAAGTTGTCAATGGTTGAGAATTTTGGGAGAAGCTCCTTCATAAAATATTCAGAAATTTGGTAATAAGCTGATTCAGTTGGATGAATACTATCAAAGAAAACATATTGTGAAGTATGTGAACACACTTGAGATTTTTTTGTACACAAGGGTCCTGTTTCTAATAATCCACTTCCACAACAACCTCTTTTTGTTTCTTCAAATCCTGTCATAATTATGTAAATAAAGATAGATATAAAAATAAAAAGAAATTTAATTTAGATTAATAAGATCAAAAAAAAAGTAATTTTAGGGAGGCTTATAAAGTACTTTACCATTCATTTTGATAAAAAATATATTTTCAATTTTACTCGTTTCATTTTTGTTTCACTCTATATATTAACTATTTATCCCAAATTATATTTCAAGGATATTTTGAAATGGTAATAGTCATGAGTATGATTTTGATAAAGAATGTTCAACAAACCACGGTTCATGACTTTGTGTGGCCACTCTACTAATGAGTGAAATTACCTAATATATATATATATTAATAAAACAATAAATACTCAATGAAACAGATAAAATATGTGTAAATTGATCTGAACATTATTTTCATTGAAATGAGCCTTGGTTGAAATTGTAATATGATAGTTCCCACATTTGTCAAAAAGGATTGTTTGTTTGGTATTTAAGACAAAACTATGTATTTAAAAATAATCATTGTATCATACTTTTTCTAAATAAAAAAAAAACATTATTAACTAGATTGATAACATAAATCAAAGATAGTATAAACTAGATTGATGATGTACTCACACAAAGATTTTCTAATTAATACAAGAATCAAGTCAAGCATAATATGAAAAATGCACAGAAGTCGCTCTTACTTTCCAAAAATAATATTATATTTATACCAAATTTTCTAAAGAAAATATAATTTATGAGAAAATTGATACATATTCAGTAATATTTTTGAAGAACTCGAAGCTTACCATATTCATGTGGACTATTGATGAGATGTGATAAAGGAGTGTATATATCAGAATAAAGTATTTTGCTTCCTCTAAGTTGTGCTTGTAAATGTGGCAATAATTCTTCAAGTTTTTTATTATAAGATTGAGAATCTGAATTCTCTTTTTCAATGCAAGTTCTATGCAGTGGAGATTTTGCTGTCATTTGAATTGGAAGACAACCAATTGGAGGTAGCCCACTCACTATAATATTACGACATCCAAGTTCATAAAGTTCCTAATAAAATAAGATACAAAAAATATACAAGTTTCATGTACTAAAAAATAAATAAAAAAATAACACAATTATATCAATTATAAGGTAATTATGGGGATATATATATTCTATATATAAACATCAACCATAGAGAGTGATTTTGACACTATTAGATCGTATATAAGATTTGACTATCATAAAAAAAGTAAGATATATAGTCTAGAAAATAAGATAAGTTATCTGCTATAATACATATATAAATGTGATGTAATGGTGTAAATTATTCACAAAAAATTGTTTAGAAAGAAGTGATAAGAAGATAGAGATGTCAATGCTATTCAAGTGATTTCTTTTCGTCGATCTAAAAATCTAAGATTTTCAAAATAAAGTTATTATGACATTTGTATTGGTGGCAAGAAATAAGTATATGATGAAATAATCGAAATATGTACTAGTACAGTAACACCCTAGAAAAATTAAACACGAAAAAAGATATTGAATATATAAAGTGTGCAAGCCTTAGACACCAATGGCATCTTTTAAAGTCGTGAAATCTTGGTCTGAAGTGAATAATATTACTAACGGTATTACATGCTATAACAA